TTTTGTCAACAAATTGATATTATCCAAAATATTTTAACAACCGTACGATATTTTTCTTTTTTTGTAAATTTTATAACTTTGTTTCTGTAACTTTGTAAGTTATATTTTGGTATAAAATATTTTTATCGCTGAAACAATTTGTGAAATTGAAAAGCAAATTATCTTTAATTGAAAGAAAAATCTTTAATTGAATCACATTAAATTTATATTTGAAGCTATTCATTTAAATTCCGATGCTCTACTAAGAAAATCGATCGATCGTGTCTTTAGAAGCATTATATATCATCTATACTCTTCCGTAGAGTGTACTTGTATGCGAAAGACTAATATCCATTAATGTAACAATTCGTGGCAACTGCAGGAGATGCAGTTATTACACGGTAGTGTGCGTTGAGTTATTAAAGGGAGTATTATCGAAGGGTATTGAGAGTGTACAGTGTAAATATCGTGTGCCCGAAGTATGAGAAGACATTACTCTATATCTAATCATCTATACTACTAAAACATTCCTATATCAGGTGTAGTATACGAGACACTCAATTTAGCTCCATCGTGCGTTACATATAATGTATGAAATTGACGATCGTTATAGATGTTCGTCGCAACATTCACAGGCATGGTCAGTCGCATTCAAATAAATTTCGATCCAAGCAAAGATAAAATCCAATTGCAGCGAGAGTACGATTCCGCTTTTCAATGCTAATTAGCGAAGAATACATACTCTATTTGCGCACGGGGTAAATAAACAGCGAGGGGATGCTGAAGTGACAAACACATGCTAGCACGATCAGAGTTGAGGGGGGGAGAAAAAGATCGCAGTTCTAGTCGTAACGGAAAAGACACTAAAACGGCGACGAGCAGCGTCATAAAGCGCGCCAAAATAAATCGGTATATCGAGCGGACCGACCGGTCCTTTCTGCTGAAAACAATTTCACCACACTTGCCTTTGCCGATTGCTCATCGTTGCTTGTTGTGAGAAAGAAAACAAAAGAAACGCCATGTCTGTCCGTTTTCAGAGGCTTACAACAGCGTTTACATTACTCGACATTTTTTAATCGTACAATGGCTCGTATAAAAATCAGTCTTAATGCAGATTTATATTGCAATCTTTATCAGATTTTGCGGCGCTTTAATATTAGCGCAGCGACAATTAATATTTATTTCATAGCTTATAGCATATTTTCAGCATGTTCTATAGCGTAAATGTAGCACATATTCTGCAGTAAACGAAGAACGATTTTATGCCGATATCGCGACGATACTGTAAACGACATGCTAATTACGGAATTGCGTAAAGTAAAGTATAAAGACGAAAAAATCGTGAACACGTTGCAATTGATATGCTTAAATTATCGTTTTAATTAGCTATGGAGCAAGTATTATTGACATGCAATAAAATTCATAATGTGTTGATTGAGTATTTGACACAATTCAAGCAGGGAATAATAGCCATTGATTTGATGTCGACAATCGCGTAGAAAAAAAATTAATTAAATAATTAATAGGAAATTAAAATTAATATAAAAATGTTTTTCAATTATCTTTATCAAAACATGTACTTCTATTCTTATATATCTACATTTGAGTTGTTTTGAAAACAAAGCATTAATTAGTAAATTTTTCATAAATGTATAATTACGTTTCGCATAGAGAATACAATTGTAGGATGACTATTATTCTTTTAACTTAAATCACACGTATGCGTTTCATCTATTCCTATCCTTTGTGATTATACTACTTTGTTCAGAAACATGCTACGTAAAATGCACTGGTTGTAGATACAAAGATGCGTGAAAATGTCTGAATATCGACCTTATTCTCTTGGAGTTTATGATTCGTCAAAATATTTAAATGTATTTCTGTAAAATAATTGGAGGTGGATGCGTAAATTATAGGAAAAACAATTTTATCGATCAGACAGTTTTAATTACTCTAAACAGTGTCGACTCTAAAAGTCCCGCTGCTAAATTCTGCGGTATTCGCGGTTTTTACTGGAATTCTCGATACTGCGAGTATATTGTTATTATTATACTCATAGACCGCACGAGTGTGAGAGATCTGCCTTGAGAGTAATAAAATTTCAAATGTTTTCCGTTAAAAAAAGTAAATTCTTTAAAATTCCGAGATGATTATCGCTTTTCGTTACAAAAATGTCGTCTTCATATTCCTTCAAAGATATTTTTCTCTGATTTATCGAACATCTTATTTATCACACGTGTTGTTTTAAATCTCCTCTTTTTGGTAGTTTGCAATTTTAAGCCAAAAATAGCTGTAAAAGAACGCGAGGAAGGGACAGGCAAAAATTGTGCGCGCTAAAGCCTCAAACTCGGCCAATGAAAGCGAAAATGCGGTAGGAGCGCGATCGATTAATCGAGGAAGCCGAGATGATTATCGGCGGTATAAAACGCAAGCCATAAATCGATAAAACCGTTACGTATCGACACGTGCCAAATAAAAATGATGGCGCGACGTAAAAATTCGAGAATATGTGTGAGACCGTGCGAGACGCGAGCAGGGGAAGCAAGGAGCGAAAAGTGTATTAAATTTGAAGGGAGGGTCTACTTCTCCCGGACGAGTAGACGGCTCGTGGTCGTTGATAAGCCGGCCTTGAAGACGATGGCGCGAAAGAACGAAAGAGGGGTGTCGTGATCGCTGATAAAAATGATCGCGCGGAGAAAAAGAGGTGACGGGCTGACGGGCTGGCGGACGGACGGACGGACAGACAGGTCGATGATGAACGAGAACGAGCATTATTTCAGAGAAGGGGATGTGTTTTGTCCTGCCTGAGGTGACTTACCCCTGGACAGTGTCATGCCTAGGAATCGCAAGTAATCGTCGACGTATCCCCGTATTCTTTACTTGGCCTGACTCTCATGCTGTCCTATATCGGTGTAGCGGCACAACACATAAGACATTTGTATACGTTCAGATAAAGATACATATATATATGCGTACTTAAAAATATATGTATATATATATATATATATATATATAATAAAATACGGTAACAGCATTACAGTTGCTTCGTAGCGCACTAATTAAACCCAGTACAATACGCTTCTACTGCACGCGCATACTGTGCTACCGCTGTGATAATTACCTCGCGTTTAGGCTAATCGTATACTGCAGACATCGCCCCCGCGCGATCGTAACGTTAACGAAAATAATAACAGTAAACTATGTAGTAATAAATAACAACAGCGACAACACAGTCACAACGAGAAAGATAATAAATGATAAGGTGTTTTATCGCGCTTCGAGTTTTGTTATGTCAATCAGCGTTGATCGCTTTAAACATTCTTTCCGTTTATCTACTGTTTTTCGATACTTCCTTGCTAAACATTGAACGTTTTTCTATGCTTCAGAAACGTAGCTATTCTATTCTATTACACATTCGCGAGATAGATAAATCATTCTTTTATTAAACTGTTTTTGTTTGTCGAGCGGACATCACGCGAAAACAATCGATTTTGCTTCAATTAGATTAAGGTTAAGCTAACTATGAGCAAATAAGTTGATGAATAGAAAATGACTTATCCATCCCAGACAGCACGCATGTCCAAAATCGAGACATAAGACGGCTTAAAGACGTCATTAAGACGCCTTTTAGACACGGTATCTAAAAGACGTCTTAATGATGTCTTTAAGATGTCTTATGTCCCGATTTTAGACATGTGTGCTGTCTGGAATTTCTATTCAATCGTATCGATATTTATGATTTGCTACATTTATATAGTCAATCTTCCGTTTAATTGTTTAATATGACATACTTTAATTATGTCACTTAATAAATTTGCTAATTCTAAACTTGAAATAAAGTAGCAAAAAAGGAGGTAGAAAAGTTAGGATAAAATAAATTTTTTACACTTTAAGATATCAGTTATAAAGTTGGTTGAAAGAATTTTATAATTACATTATTTTCAAAATTTTATCTTTTTAAATTGATTTTTTGTGCATATCTAATGGAAAAAATTTTTTTTTTATTTTAACTCTTCGACTCATCTTTTAAATCCTTATAATTGTATATTATCCCGTATATTATCCCGATAACTTTAATGAGCTTACTTTTATTCCAAGAAGTTGCTTGTTTTGCATAAGCAACGTTTCTTACTCAAATTTTACGATGTTTTCATCGACAGTATTTGCATTTCCAATCGTACCACGCAACTAAATCGTTAAAGAGAATGAAAGAAAAACAGGGAGACTGCTATATATATATATATGATCTATAAAAGGATTGTCTTCTTGCCGAATATTTGTATGTTTTTCAAACTGACCTGCAAAGCACCAGCGACCAGTTGCGCGTGCAAAGATTAGGAGGAAAATAATGAGTACGAGAACCAGAACGCCCACGACGATACCGATGATTGATCCAGCGTCCAACTCAACTGCAAATCGTGAAGAAAGAATGTCTCTCGTTATCATCGTTCTTTGCGTACATTTAATATTATATCAGTGCCTTGAATTGGATTAACTAATGGGATTAACATAAGGTTTACGAAGCGTAGGAGAGAATATTATACAGGGTGATCAAAACAATCTACTGTCCTTGAAATGTCATATTCTTGAGAAAATTCTGAGAAAATTTTTCCTTTTACAAAATTTTGTCCGAAGTTTAGTTTTCGAATTATAATTGAAAATAATTAGCTACTTACGAGTCCGGTATTACGGGCAGGCAGAGACGCGCAATGCATAATGAGATTGTCAAATGTTACGTTAGTCTCATGACGCGTTGCACTGTTCCTGCCTGCCCGCTGTACCGGACTCGTACGGTAGGTAACTATTTTCAATTATAATTCGAAAACTCTAAGCTTCGAACAAAATTTTGTAAAAGGAAAAATTATCTCAGAATTTGCTCAAGAATGTGACATTTCAAGGATAGTAGATTGTTTTGTATTTAAGACTAAAAAAATAATTTCAAAGTACTAAATAACTACTTAAAAAAATTACTTCAGTGCTTAAAAAATAAATGTTAGACTTCTCAATGATAATGATCAAAAACCAGACCAATAATGAAACAAAAATATATACTTATTTAAAATTGCAACGAAAAATTTTTCTACGATTCAAAAGACTTTCTAGTTTCTTTTGATCTACTCTCAAAATATTTGAATACTCTAATTCCAAGGTACTGATGTATATATGATACGTATCGAATAAATACACATATACAGATATTTATTGGCTATTCAAAAAATTAGTTGCATCATTATACAGGATATCTTCGCGACTTCAATTTTAATTTAGTGACACGTTTTGATCCATTTTCTATTGTTTAGAATTTCTAATAATTTTAATAATAAAATGTTAATAATTTCCGTATTTCTCATGAAAATTTTCTTCTGATTCACACATTAAAAAATAACTAATGATTAACAAATCATATTTTCAGTTTATTTCAAATAAATTTTACTTATGCAGAATTTTAATTTGAAGTTTCAGAATGCATAATATTGAAAGTTAGTAACTTGTATAAATGTTAACTCTTTTTGATATTTTTTTCTAAGAAAAAAATTGATTCCAAATTTGTCTGTTAAATCGCGAATCATGAAACAGCCTGTATGATTTGTATTAAAATGAATAACGATTACAGTGCAACGTGTACGTAATATTTCATCACGCAGCGTTTCGTGCGATCCAATCCGAAGTCGACGAAATCTAGACTGTTTTTCACTTGTGTGTTATCGAAATTGGTAAATTACTCATCGCTCGATCAATGTCAACGTGTTCTCCCGTGATCGACGGATATCACGCCCTTAGTCAAATAACGGTTATTAATTTTCCAGCGTGATCATCCCCGGAGTTTACGTCAAAACCGTTGCGCACGAAACACCACGCACGGAACGCTACACTTACGTGACTACTCTGACTACTTACGTATAGTAATTTGAAAAAAAGGACATTACCTAGTGCGTGCATGTGTTCGGAGATCTTACCAACGAACTGACTGAACGCTCCTGCGTGAGCATGCGGTGAAGGATCGATTTGGTTAGACACGCACACAAAACATAAACGGAACGTATTTTCTAGGACGCGTGAATGTGATTAGTGGCGATTATCTCGTGACGATTATGGCGATCGATAGCGGCAATTTTACATGCGAGATCGCGATAGCATGATTGTAATCATGATGTAATGGTGGATGGTCAATGGACAGCCAAGTGTGAATGTTGGTTGATTCAAGCAATCAAAGGAAAAAAAGCGTGTGGAGCGTCTATTGATTGTTCGCGTGTTACTTATCACTTGTTTGCTGCTATATCGGAATTCGAATTTGTTTGTCAATTCAGTTAGACAAGTTAGATTTACGCACGAACTTCATAATTTAAGATTTATTATTTTTAATGAAACTAATATCGCAATTAAAACATTTTTCACTAATTATAATTTAAGACTATAAGTAAATAATAGAATTAATTAACTCTTTAGTCAAATTTAAACAATTTTTGCATTTAAAAAATGAAATTACTAATCAGTTAAAGTAATATTTTCTATTAAATTTTTAATAGACAAGATTATCATTTATTAAAAAATCTGTTGCCAAAAATAAAAATTACGATCTTCCTATCAATCTTAAAAATTTTTATATTTTTAATTATGCATTTTTACTACTTTAAATATATGAACAATTTTTTACAGAATTTATATTTTTTGGAGAAGAATGTAATTGTCCTTTGATTATTAAAATATATTAATAGTTATATCCACTCCAATGGCATCGCATTCTGCACAGTAATTATCAAATATACATAAAGTCATTAGAAAGGAGACATAACACCATTATTAAAAACGCTATATAATTTTGTTTGTGTCAGTTATCATGGCATTCGAAGCTCCAATATTTCCGATATGTACAAGACCCGTATTTCTAAGTGCACAAGTGTAATATCATGAAAAAAAGGGAATTTGCGTGTAAATCTGATTTCTCAAATAACTTACCCGCTGGCTCTGAGGATGTCGACAATTTGACATAATATTCACTCGTTCCTTCGTTGTTGGACGCCACCAATTTGTATTCGTTCTCCGTGTCAGATTTCTGAACGTTATTGATCGTCAAAATTACACTCCATACACCACTTCTCTGTAAAAATAGTTTTATGTTATGAACGTGCATCAATCCGGTTTGTGATATCGAGCTCTTAATTTTCCACGCTGTATCGCTCATTAATTAAGCCCTTTAATTAAGCTCTTTAAGGTTGTCGCTGTGCGCACACGCACAGTGAAGATACGTCTATAAATTATTCGAAGGCTTTCGCTATTAATCTACCAGTTTTTGTACGCAATTCTTTTAATTCATGTATTAAAGGGATGAATGAATCATTATAGTGTTTATTGCGGAAATAAAAGTAAAAAAAAATAAATTTTCCAGATTTTGTCAATGTTACTTAATTTTCACTAAATATGTATAAATATTTTATTTCTGCATCTTCAATATTCCAGTCGAATTTACGCCAAGTTTTATTTCTCTCAATTAAATTTATTTAATTTCTATTGCACTTCTTATTTTATCTTTGTTATGTTCTCTCACGATAAAAATGTTTTACATTTTTACGAAATCTTTTCGATTTTTATTAAATTATTTTGCTTTGTCATCGCAGTTTTCTAATTGAAAAATTTATTTGAGAGCTCTCGATATCACATCAAGCATTATTCTCAGGCGCTATTATAGGAGTGAAAGCGGCATCCCGAGCCCTTCCGTGCTTTCGCCTCTCAGTTCGCCGTTAGTAATTGCGTTTTCAGAGTGGAAGCTGATTTGTATTCGTCGAACGGCGCGGCACGTCGCGCTGCGCTCAGTCGGCTTGCCGCTCAGTAGTCGCGCTCAGTATAAGTTGCGACTTGCGAGAGCTGCAGCCTATTTGAAAGCCATTCATACGCGAGCCAGTTGCCGGTTGCCGAATAGCGACGGCGGCTTTTATTGGTTCTGGCACACACTGGCGTTGTTCCAGAGTGTTACGCTCGCGCGAGCGTGCCGCTCGCTCTGAAAGTTCGCGCCTGAATCGTGAGTTTCGACGAAATCATCGGACGCTATTGAGGTCTCTCTCTTTCTCTTTCTCTCTATTTCTCTCTCTCTCTCTCTCTCTCTCTCTCT